AGGAACAAGACTCGAGAGTGAATCTGAAACGGTTTGCCGAGCAGCCCAAAAATCAAGAGAAGGAGGGAGAAGGATGCCTGGGTGGACAGAGCTTATTCACCGTCTGCCCAGACTTGGGCGGTAGGACTATCAGAAGACAGACACGCTGCCACGTGGCGCTCAGGGAGACCTGCCGCAGCAGCTTCTAAACCCGGCACACCAGAGCCACGGGAGCTTAACCCTAACTGATAACTGGGAAAATGCTTAAGGAAAGGCGACATAATCGTTCAGTTCAACATCAACATACCCCCCTCCTACGTTCAACAGTTGTTAACACTTCACTATATTTCTTTTACACACACACACACACACACACACACACACACACACACTCTCACGTACACTGGTTGCAAGCATCATCATACATCGCTTCCGAATCCTTCTGCCTGCATCTCCTAGGAATAAAGGCATTTTCTTCCATATCCACAATATCATGTTCACCCTCAAAAAATAATTTGCTATTATTTTAGCCCAGGCAATTTTTTTAAAAGAAAAGAAAAAAATACAGGTTCCTGGACCCAGCGATTTGGGAAGACAGAAACCCAGCAGCCAGGAATCTATATTTTAAGTGTTTCCAGTGGCTCTCACGTATCCAGCCCCCGCACTGATTGGGGGCAACCAGGAGGACAAGACAGGTTCAAGTCACTGCTTAGCAGCTAGGGCTGAGGAGAAGCTAAGGGAAAGCACCTCTAGGTGCTCAGGAGGGGGACAGGCAGCCTGGGCTGCAGACCCCACGACTGACCCAGGGGAGGTGCTGTGGGGAGGGGAGCAGGAAGCAGAGCAGACTCCTCCATAGGGGATGCACCAGAATCCCAGGCCAAAGGCCTCTTCTCTCCAATCTTTGGCTCCTCTGCAACAGCCCACCAGGGAGAATAGTCTTTTGCTAAATCTGCCCAGACACCACTCACAATTCCAGGATCCTGGGACAACTGTAGGGGCCCTGGGCACAGCTAGTCTGTAACAGGAAGTCTGTCACCCAAGGTCCAGGCTGCCTCCTTTCACTGCCCAGGAAAACATTTTTTCTCCTTGGCTCCTGCCCCCACCTCTGGCAGCACCCGGGCTCCCAGCAGGAGTGGAGAGCTACTCAGAGCAGGAAATGCAACCAGAACTCTTGAAGCCATTACTCCTGGCTCCGAAGGCGCTGCCTGTCTTGCCTCTTGACCCGAACAACCTTGACTGCTCGAAACTAGCTCTCTGCTCCCCAATCTGACAGCCTGACAGATGGCACAATTAAGTCTCCCAATCCCTCTCCTCTGTCACACACACACACACACACACAAACACACACATATACACACACACACATACACACACACACAGTAGAAAGCAGCCTGAGGCAGAAGAGCAATAACATCACTTCAGATTGCCATGACTGGTGCCACGGACACACACTTTGATGTAAATGACACCCCAGGAAGGCCTCAATTTGATCTCATTGCACAAGAGGACCCAGAGTGGGTGTCAGCTCTGAAATTGGGGGATCATTCATGTGTGGTTGTAGAGGTAAAGGTGAAAGAAGCACTCAGGGTAGACCCTACAAAGTCACGGCTGTGAAGGCCACGTTTCTCAACTCTCCCCTTTTATGAATAAGGAAAGTGGCATCTCACCCCTATCTGCTGCTCCCCACCTCCATGCTCTTTCTCATGCTTCTTCCCCACCCCCAGCTGAAACATCATTTTCAAATGTTTCTCTCCCTCCACTCCCCGACTGGACTAACGCTCATTCATTCCTTTAAACTTGAGCCAGGGTGTTCTTAAGTCAGACAGCCGTGAATTACGTCCTCCTCGGCTATCCCAAATGGTTACTGTACACATTAGGAAAAATCGCCCTTTTCTCTAGCCTCCTGTCTGCTGGGGGGGGGAATGTTCTAATAATTATTATATAAAGCATACAGTGGCTCCAAGGTGAATGGCATCTGCTGGAACTGGCAGCACGCAGCCAGCCCAACCATAGTAGGGGCCATGTCTGAAGTCTCCGTTTTCAGTGATCTCATAACACCTCCTGCTTATCTACAAGTGTCTGTCTCTCACCCTAGATTCTAAGCTAGAGAGAGAAAGATAGAAATATCAGTGTTGAGAGAGAATCATTGATCAGCTGCCTTTGCAGGCCCCCTACTAGGGATTGAGCCCCCAACCCAGGCATGTGCCCTGACCAGGAATTGAACCGTGACCTCCTGGATCATAGGTCAATGCTCAACCACTGAGCGACACGGGCTGGGCTGTAGTGACCTCTCTTTAATGAGTTTCCCAAGTAAAGAAATCTCTCCAAAGCAAAGCAGAGTCTCTGGGAGTCCTTCCCAAATTGTAGATCCAGGAAATAGCACCATATAGTCCCTGAGTCTGTAATAGAATCTTTCCTTTCCCACGCGGTGGATGAAAGAGAGGGCACAATGGCATGTCAGATAGGTTCTGCCATCAACAGTTCATCAGGTGCCCATGATGACAATGAAACTAATGACCTGCCACATCTTCCCCCATTGACACTTCGGTTTTGCCTCCAACAATGCTCTCTAGCCAGCCAGTACTAATTTTTATTTCCCCGTGTCTTCTACTCAGAGGAGCTTTTTCGGAAGTTTTCCTGGTGAAGCAAAGGGTGACTGGGAAGCTCTTCGCCCTGAAGTGCATCAAGAAGTCACCGGCATTCCGGGACAGCAGCCTCGAGAATGAGATCGCTGTGCTGAAAAAGTGAGTGGGTCTTAGGGTTGGCTGAGTACAACTGTGGGGTCACAACATTTCCTTCACAAAGTACCTTCAAGAAGGTCTGGGGCTGGGTTGCTCCCAAAAGGCATTGCTCCCTTTGATTGAGCTAATGGTCAGTTTGATTAACCAGCTAAGTTTAGCCAAAAATCTGTCTTGGCTGATTTTTTTCTCCCAGCCAATTGTCTAGTGAACCAACTAGTAGCAGAGCTGGTTTGTGCACACAGACCAGAGGGTAATTATCTCAAAGGAACAAACTTCAATTGAAGGCCAACCCTAGGAAGAATTGATCATTAAAGAAGCAGTGTAAAACTTGGAAATTAACCTCAATTTGTTCCAAATCAAATGTAGGGTTAATACCCTAAGCATCATGATGGCGGCTATACTAATAAATCATAATGTTTACAGCAGGACTATTGCCGCAAACCCTTGTGGGATTCCTTTGGTGTGCAACAAGTGTAGTAGGCATCAGGACCACAAGGATGAAGCCAGCAGAATTCCTTACCCTCAGGAGCTCACATTTTCTGAGCAGAGACAGAGGTATCATAACAAACTCTATTCCTGTTAGATGTGACTCACACTAGCAGAAGGCAGAGTTTGAAGGAGACAGGGATTCATTTTGCCTGCATGTGTTTTTTTGTGAGTAAGGACTATTAGGTACATTTTCAAAGAAGAGGAATCTTGAAGGATGAGTAAAATTTAATGGAGGCAGGAGGGGCAATGCAGAAAGGGAATGCAGACTGAGAATAACATAAGCTTTAATGTAGAATCTTGGAACTGCAAGGTGTGTTGGGGAAAAGTAAGTATTGGAAGCCCCTGAATTTGCTATCAAGGGACAGGAGATGAAACCAAATAGTCAAGTGGGAACCGATTATAAAGGGTCTTGGCTGTCATGATAAAGACTGTTGACTTTATTTTGTGGGCAAAGAAAAGTCATCAAATGATTTTAAGTAAGAAGTCACATAATCAGATTTCTATTTAGAAACCCTGTCTTAAGCATGGAATGGAGAATGCCAGCCTAGAGGATGGGAGATCAATTACACGACTTTCTCAAGCGAAGAGGATACAAGCAAAGTAGTGGCAGGATCATGTAATGGCCAGAAGACCAAGGTTAGGAGGCATTTCAGAGAGAGAAGTGATTGAGTTGGGGTTGACTGGTAAGATCATAAAAGAAAAAAGCATTAAAAATGACTCTGAGATTGAGTGATTAAGTGGACAGTTACATCATCCTTGGGATAGAAAGCAAAAAGGACGTCTAGGCTTGGAGGAAATAGAAAGAGATTGATTGGAGCACGATGAATATATGTATCCACTTATCTCTACATGAAGGTATCTGGTAGGATGTTAGAGTTATAGCTCTGGGCTTCAGGGAGATTAAAGCAGAGAGCCAGGCTGGTGTGGCTCAGTGGTTGAGTATTGACCCATGAACCAGGAGGTTAGGGTTTGATTCCTGGTCAGGGCCCATGCCTGGGTTGCAGGCTTGATCCCCAGTAGGAGGTGTGCAGGAGGCAGCCGGCCAATGATTCTCTCTCATCATTGATGTTTCTCTCTCTTCCTCTCTCTGAAATCAATAAAAATATTTGTTTTAAAGCAGAGAGGGACTCTAGACTCATTGAAAGCAAGGTGGTCTTTGATATTATTGTATTGTATCATCAGTCCCTAACAGCACAGATACATAAACAGCCATAAACACTTGTTCAGTGAGTGAATCATCAACAAATTGATGTTAGTTTTGTCAGCTTGTATGTATAATTGAATCCATCAGATCACTGCTGCAAGAAGTGATCTATATTTTTAGAAATGATCTATATTTTTAGAAATGTCTAAAAGATGATAGATATTATTAAGTACTAGAAGCCCGGTGCATGAAAATTGTGCACAGCTAGGGTCCCTAGGCCAATTGGGGGCCTCCCTTCATTCCACACCACCCCCTGGTGGTCAGCGCAGGTCATAGAGAGCGATAGAACTCCCGGTCTCCTGGTGGAACTCCTGTAGGGACACTTTGCATATTAGCCTTTTATATATATAGATGTGTTTACTATTCCCCAGGCACTGTACTAAGCATTTGACATGCATTTTTTAATACTTATATAACCCTATAAGACAGATCTTTGAAGATGAGGAAAGTGAGGCTTAGAAGAGTTGAATAAGCCAGTCAGTTACTCAATAATAAATGCCTGAGCTAGATCTGAACTCTGACTTAGAGTCTAAGTTCTTAATCCCTGTGTTGCACAACCATGAGTCATACTTCCTAGAAATTTTCTTCCTGGACAGCCATGCACTGAATTGCTGATTGGAAAGCCAAGCCTGTAGATAATATGATTGTTCTGCTTGCCCCCACCTCTGAGTAATCCCAGCAAAGGTCATCCGGGGCAAGATTTCCCCACCTCAGCTCTATTGACATTTTCGACCAGATCATTCTTTGTTGTGTTGGGGCTGCCCTGTGCATTGTAGGATGTTTAGCAGCATTTCTGCTTCTAACCACTGAATGCCTGCAACATCTCTCCCGTCACCAGTCATAATAATCATAAATGTCTTTAGCTATCGCCAGATATCCTCTGAGGGACAAAACAGCCCCTGATTGAGAATCATTGACATCCCATAGAAATGAACCCCCAAATGAGCATCTACCTTCTCACAATATCCTGGAACAAAAAGTTTGCAACACTTTCTCCACGGTTACCCATGAGGAGGCCTCGCTAACCTAAGTCCCTCCTGTTGTAGTAGCCTTTCTTCATGCAATGTTTCTGAAAGAGACCTGGATACCCATGGTGTAGACTAGCCTAGTGGTCAATGCTCCCTTAACCTTCCTCAGGTCTTTTAAACTTTCTCTTTTAATAAGTTGGAATAGATCCTTAAAGTAAAAAATGAAATGTTTGTTCCCTAAAGGCAGGATGATCAATTATCCATTCAAAAATATGGACTGAGCACCACTCTGGGAATCTTTTTCCTGGGATTTCTTTGTGATGGCCTATGTGTTAGGAAGGCTTCATAAGGACCCTCTTTTCCTAAATATTGTCATCAAAAGTCTCCAACAGAAATAAGAGTCTCTAGTTGGGCTGGGTCAGCATCCTTTGTCTAGATGACCTAACCCACATGCCTTTCACCATGACCTTACTTTCCCCAGGATCAAGCATGAAAACATCGTGACCCTGGAGGACATCTATGAGAGCGCCACTCACTACTACCTGGTCATGCAGCTGTAAGTAAAGGTGACCTGGGGCCTCAGAGGCCTGGAGGAGGCTGGTTGGTGATGAGGGAAGGATGGTGATTAAATGTCAAGAATTAGCTCAAGAGGATCTGAAATGCCAAGAGCCCTTTTAGGATCAGTATGCCTCTGGGTGTGGACCTGTTCTTTATGGATCCGGGGATAAAGCTAGGGTTGATTATTGAGTTGGTACATACCAGCACAGCCTTACTAGTTGTTAAAAATATTTTCTACCAGTCAGCGAGTAGCTGTGATCCTAACCTATCCATCCTCCCTCCTGGCCCAGTCCCTTCCATCTGGACCTCCCCACAACACTACAATTGAAGGGGTAATGCCTGGCAAAGCTGGGGCCTCCAAAACCCTTCTCTGGCCCCATGGCTTGTGTCCATTTTGACCAGTCATGATGAGCAAAGTAGATAATAAATGTTTTAACATCACTCCAGGGTAAAATTACTATGGGAGTAGAAGCCACAGGTAGATAGATTTTAATTCAATATAAAGAAAGACTTGCTCGAAAGGGAGTCACCCAAAGTTAAAAACAGGCTGTGATTGTGAGTGCGTTCATGTGTAGGACTGAAATGTTGCCTCATTAGGAAGGTCTCCCCATCACTGTCATATCCAAATAAGAGTTCTGCCTGAGGGGACTGCTGTAGGGTTGGTCAGTGCTCCCAAAGACTCAGTATTGGGCTCAGAGACACTAGTTATAAAGTATACACACACTCACACACACACACACTCATCACTGCAATTTCAGCGTAACTGGATGCAATGTTTTTGGCTGACAGGCTAATTCAGGGGTGGGCAAACTTTTTGACTCGAGGGCCACAATGGGTTCTTAAACTGGACCGGAGGGCCGGATCAAAAGCATGGATGGAGTGTTTGTGTGAACTAATATAAATTCAAAGTAAACATCATTACATAAAAGGGTACGGTCTTTTTTTTTTTAGTTTTATTCATTTCAAACGGGCCGGATCTGGCCCGCGGCCGTAGTTTGCCCACGGCTAGGCTAATTCCTCAGAAACTCTAATGAACTAACTCTGGCCTCAGCAGCTTATTAACCCCTGGGCTCACCTGAGGCCCAGTGAATAGCAATAGCAAGCAGTCAAGGGAGTAAGGTTGGGGGAGGACCCAGAGCATCATAACAAGTGAGCAGGGACCATGTGGCACCTCAGTGAAGCCAGAATTATCACATAGTCATTCAGATGGCTAAGAGGAGGCAGAAAGGTAGGAAGATTCAGAAGTCACTGAAGAACCACCAAGCCTCCCAGAGCACCAGCCCCAGGACCCAGGATACTCTGAGTCAGGAGTTCTTAGTTGTGGACAAAGAGTAACTTTCTCTCATGGGCCTCCAGCTCCCATAACAGAGTCCAGAGCATCAAGACAGAAGCAGAAGGAGTAGGATGTCATGCATTTTTATTGGAGAAATTCAACATCTTTAGTACTGCATGGCCCTCACATGGGTGCATAGCCACATCTTATGTCATGAGCAGTAGAAGGGGATTGGAGCCCCTGACTCGTGGTTGAAGTAGTCTGGGATATTTATCCCAGAGAAGGACTTAGAAAAGTATTCCAGTGCACATACCTGAAAAGATTCATGTGATAGGATGTTGTTTTTGTTCTGTGTGGCCCTCATGGGCCCAATGGTGGCATTAATGTCTGCCGGTAGAAACTACAGGGTGTCGGTTCATCATAGAGCTAGAAATATTGAGGTGACAAAATATGAGACCGTCTATCTTAAAAGGTAGTGAGTTCTCTGCCACCGATGTGTCCAATACTTACTAGAAAACTTCTAGGCAAAAATAGTCTAGATGGTACTCAAGAGATGGGAGTCAGACTTGATCTTAAAACTCCCCTAAATCATAAGATGCCATATACCATGTGAGCCTCAAACTACCCCTACAACTCCACCCCATACTTTCACCTTTAGGTGGCCCAATTTGACAAAATGAGGAAAGAATTCCCGACATAAGCACAGAATTCTCATTTGCACACCTCTCTGCCTAATTTCAGTTTCACTTCTCTCTTTCATCATTTCTTCTTCCCTGCGTCCTAGGCCTGGAGAGAAGGCAGATAAGAAATAATTCCCAGAAAGGAATTATTGGCTTCTTGGGAAACCCTGACCAGGGGCGTTTTACATTTCAAAGGATGTTTCCAGGGAGAGATCAATGGTTGGCCCAAAAAGTGACTCCCTAGCAATATCATTCCAGGTACCTGAAGGAGGCATTCTGAGACTGGAGTGGCAGGTCCTCCTTGAGCAGTCAGGGGTACCTGTCTGTTTTGCCACAGCTGTGTCCCCATGATGACAGAGCAAACCCATTCAGATGACCTGAAATAAGAGCTGGATTCCTGCCTTTGCCCTGTGCCCACAGTGTTTCCGGTGGGGAGCTCTTTGACCGGATCCTGGAGCGGGGTGTCTACACAGAGAAGGACGCCAGCCTGGTGATCCAGCAGGTCTTGTCAGCTGTGAAATACCTCCACGAGAATGGAATCGTCCACAGAGACTTAAAGGTGCCAGGGCGGGCCCTCGTTTGGGGGGGAAGGGGAGGAGAGACAGAGAAATGATCCTTTAGGAAGGTGCCAGGGTCATGGGCAGTCTGAGCTCTGTAAAATGGAGAGGGCTGGACTGGCTAACTCCTAAGGCCCTTTCTGCCCTTAGATTGAACAAATCTTGGATGAATGAGCAATCATTGTCAATTTGTACCTCAGCCTTTTCTGCACCTTTCACCAGTCCTTACCTTATTTGGCTACCGAGATAATCCACAGTTTCTGGGACCCAGCCACGGTCGTACTCAAATGTAACAAATACTTACTGAGGGTCAGCATTGCACCAGGCATGTGCCAAACTTTGGAGAGGTCAGAGATAGTTAACCAAAGGTTAATTCCTTCAAAAAACAGCAAGGGTACTCGGGAATGAGGCGAGAGAGGGATTAGTACCTTAAGGCTGTAAAGCTAAGCAAAGTCAAGGCCATAAGCAAAATACAGAATGATGGGGTACAGGAGTTGAGGGTGCAGGTAGGAGGCAGGAGAGAATGGGGGAGAGATGAGTCTGGCCTTGAAGTCAGGGGCCCAGGGTGCAGCTTCCCAAGAAATTATATATCAGGGAGGAGAAGAGATGTGTGTTTCAGATTGTGATATCCTCCTCACCCACAGCCTGAAAACCTGCTGTACCTCACCCCTGAAGAGAATTCTAAGATCATGATCACAGACTTTGGTCTGTCCAAGATGGAACAGAGTGGTGTCATGTCCACTGCCTGTGGTACCCCAGGCTATGTTGGTGAGTCTGGGAACAGGAGGGAGGATGACCAATTGGCTACATTTGACCACATAGATGTTATTCACCGAGAGGGACGTGAGTCACAGTTGTGAGAAGTCAGGGTTCAATTTCAGGGATGATCCAAGTAGAACAATCACTTATGAGGTTCAGGGACAGCCAATCCATTGATCTCTAAACTACCCCTGCTGCTCCCAAGCCTACACAGCCTACCCCAACTTCTGCCTTTGTCTTTCAGGCTATACAAGGGAGAGAGACACAGTCACAAACTCAGAAACCTTTAGACAGTGAAGGATTGTCCACTAGCCCCCTTTCTTTTCTCCCACTTGAAAGGAAACCTCAGCCTCCCAGTTGTTGGTATCCTGGGGGCATAGTGCTGAGTTTGTATCTAAGGAACCCCCAAATCACGCCCTAGGAAACTGGCAGAAGTGGGGCCTCCTGCCTAAGCAGGAGGCTTCCAGAGCCCCCCAAAAAGTAAGAGCAGGCAAGATACCAGGTGAGAGCAATTCTGAGATCCCTGGGGGAGAAAGCCCAGACTCAGAGCACCCACTTCTGCCCCTTCCCTCTTAGTCAGTCCTCACCGGGTTGGGGTTAGGAAGTGGGAAGTACAACCCTGACTCAACGGAGAGAATGGGCACTCGCCCTAAAAGAGAGGTTGGTACTTACTGTTAGGTATTTAGTCCCACTGGGCACAAAGCTCTGGTGTCTGTGATCAATACAGACGACAGATAAATGCCCCAGAGCTCCCAATCAGTGGAAGACATGGCTCATTCCCTCGTGGAGCTCATGATCTGATCAGGCAGACTAAGCCCAGACCTCAGAAGGCACCACAGACTGATGGGACAGGTACAGCCGGCCCTCGGGGAGTTCCTCACTTGACAGGGGAGACTCAGTCTCTACCTTCATGGAGATCCTGATCTAGTCAGAGAGAGACATTCCTTAACATGCAGGTTTTTCCATAGCCCTTGCCCTGGGGATCCCCAGTCTAAGTGGGGAGACACAGGACCTGCCTTCAGAAAGCACTCAGTCCAATGGGCGACACATAGCCCTGAGATCTTCAGTCTGAACAGAGTCATAGGCCCTGTCCTGGGGACCTCCTAGTTCAATGGAAGAAGATTAGTCTGATGGGAAAGACACAGTCCCTGCCCTAGGGGAGTTTGCAGCCTCATGGGCCCAAATGGCTAAGAGGAGGCAGAAGAGTGGGAAGATTGAGTCAGGAATTCTTAGTTGTGGACAAAGAACTCAAAGGATAAATAAATAAATTTATCCTCTTCTCTAAGCCTCTTCCTGACCTTCAGCCCCCAACCCACAGCCCTCTCGTCATGCCCAGGCTTGACTCTGCCTTTGGTTTGCAGCTCCGGAAGTGTTGGCCCAGAAACCCTACAGCAAAGCTGTGGATTGCTGGTCCATTGGCGTCATCACTTACATATTGTGAGTAGAAGCTGTCATTGGCTCAGTTCCTGGGAATTCTCAGATCCTGCTCACCCCCTCTTCTCCTGTCCTCTGTCTCAGCTCCTCAAGTGGCATCCACCTCCAAAGCATGTGCATATACATGTGCGCACACACACACACACACACACACACACACATGCTTGCTCACACAGCTCCACCTGCCCTGGTGTCTACCAGGTAATAAAAACAGCTCAGTAGGAATGCACTGTTCAGCCACCTGGTAGTCCGTCTTCCTGCCCCCTTTACTGCATGTGCTGAGTCCTGCTCTGTGGAATGAGCAGCGAAAAGGGGAGAGGCCAAGCGAAGCTCAGAAGCCACGTGGGCACAATGTTCACATCTAAGATTTTCCTCCTGGTGATGTCAGCCCAAGGCCAAGCGATGGCCTGGATGAGCCTGGTCATTGCTCCTCCCCACACATTCCCAGGCTCTCCTTTCCAAACCTGCTTGCCATCCCTCCCCCTCCAGTCCTCCTCACCTGTAGTGAACTTTGCTCTTAGAAAAAATAACCTACTGTTTGTTAGTTATTTACCACTTAATGTGGATTCAGTTCTCTATTTCCTTAGCTTATGATGAATAATGACTCTCATTCATTCATTTACTCCACAAATATTCACTGTCTGCCTGCCCTGTGCCAATCACTGGTTTAGGTACTAAATAATAAAAAACAAAACAGCCTTTAAAATCCCTCATGAAGCTTACACTCAAGGATGGACATTCTACCATCCTTCTTAAAGATATTTTATATCGCCCTAGCCGGTTTGGCTCAGTGGATAGAACGTCGGCCTGTGCACTGAAGGGTCCTGGGTTCAATTCCAGTCAAGGGCATATACCTTGGTTGCAGGCTCCTCCCAGGCCTGGGCCTTGGTCATAGCTCATGCAGGAGGCAACCAATTGATGTGTTAATCTCACATCAATGTTTCTCTCTGTCTTCCCCTGTCTCTTCCACTCTCTCTAAGAATCAATGCAAAACTATTCTCGGGTGAGGATTTTTTTAAAATGGAGGGGAAAAAGAAAGATATTTTATATCATCTGGGAGTCAGGGGAGGTACAGGGAGAGGTGGCAAGGATTTGGGGGAAGAATGTCCAAAGGGGCCTTCCAGGGCTGCCTGTTCCAAGCTTTGGCTGCTGCAAAAACACTTGATGGGACCTGCACTATTCCTGAGTCAGAGGCAGACCCCCGTCCTGGTCACGCTGCTGGGGGGACCCTTGTTGCCTGCCTGTGTGCCGGTGGGAGGCTGGCCCGTGGGGAGAGGCTGGCCCAGGAACAGCAGCGTGGCCCTCCTGTTCCACTGCAGGTTGTGTGGGTATCCTCCTTTCTACGAAGAAACTGAGTCTAAGCTTTTTGAGAAGATCAAAGAAGGCTACTATGAGTTTGAGTCTCCATTCTGGGATGACATTTCTGAGTCAGGTAAGGCCGGTGGGTGTGAATGACAAGATAACAGGCTCAAGGCAGAGGCTGCCGAGAGAAAAGAGCTTAACAAAGGATGACAGCGAGCTCTTGAAAGTCCCTGGGGAATCTTACGGAAAACGGGCTGCCAGAGAGGGTGGAGAAATCTTTATCTGGTTCAAAAGCCAAATATATTCTGCGCATCTAAGGTTCATGCTTTCGCTTTCCCCGGAGACAGAACCACAGCCTGCCTGGGAAAAGCAGGGAGGTAGTCCATGTGAGGGGGCAGGAGGTACAGCCAGGAGAGTCTTCCAGCAGGACTGGCAAAACCAAGGCCAAGTTTTGCCTTTTACACACCGAGACCAAGACCGTGCCGCGTCCCTGTGTGTGAAAGGCTATCATTGCATGTTGTTGGACCCATTACATAGAGATCAGAGCTGGGAAGAGCCAGCGCTCACATGCGCGCCCACGTGTGGGTGCTGGCCCCTGAATGGTGTAAATACACACGCTGGGGCCTCGTGACGAGAGGCGGACGTGCACTGCGACGTGGGTGAGGCTGAGGAGAGCCTCTCTTTGGTGCTTTCTGGTGGGTTGTTGTTAGGTGGTTTGGAATTTTTTTTTAATCTCTTTTTAAGACTCTTAAAATTGCCTCTTTGGAAGATTAGCTAAAAGATGCATTCACTGCCACCCACCAGCCGGAAGTGAATTTCCATCAGTCATGAAACCTGCTCCTTAGCCGCTGTGTCTTTGATTGCTCCTCTTAGCCAAGGACTTTATTTGCCACTTGCTGGAGAAAGACCCGAGTGAGCGGTACACCTGTGAGAAGGCCCTGAGGCACCCCTGGTGAGTGAGGACTGGGGTGGGCTCAATCTCCAACCCGTGGCTCCCCAGATTCCACGCTGACCGGTCCACATGGAGTGTGTCCCTGGAGTCTGCTTGCCCTGAGCTGTCCACTGTTGTGGCATCCGGGGAGCACAGGCGTGTTCATCGGGTCCAGCCAGAGACGCACACAGCATTCCATTAAGTGGGCTCAGACCCCAGGGTGGCGGCTGGGCCATCTAGTCAAGTGCCATGGGCAGCAGCTAGGCTCGGTGTCAGCACTGGAGGGCAACACTCAGCCCTAGTTACCCAAGAGGCAGCTCTGTCTATCCCTCAGAGCATCATTTAACTCTACTCTGCGGTCAAAACCTGCTCCATATGAGGTGATCTGAGAACGATCACAACTCATGAAGGAGGTCAATAACATCTTGGAACACCTCCTTTTCTTCTTGCTACACCCCTGCTCAAGAATTGACAACAGCTCCCTGTTTCCTACCGCAGCAATCCCAGAATCCTTTGCCTTTCCAGGTTTTCCCTAATCTGGCCTGACCTCCCACTTTACTTCCCGGGATTCCCAACACACCTTCTCTGTTCCGGAAAGGCCTATGAGCTATACATCTGCCCCTGCCTTCCCCATCCCCGTATACCAAGCTCTTTCTGAATTGCACCTTGGGTTATACCAGTGGCCGGCAAACTGCGGCTCGCAAGCCACATGTGGCTCTTTGGCACCTTGAGTGTGACTCTTCCACAAAATACCGACTTCTGCGCATGGGCCACGAAGTTTCAATCGCACTGTACATGCACGCCCGCACGTGGTATTTTGTGGAAGAGCCACACTCAAGGGGCCAAAGAGCCACATGTGGCTCGCGAGCCTCAGTTTGCCGACCACTGGACCATTTTCCTCACCTGGAAGATGCTGCCTCTGGCCTTGCATGTAGCATCCTTCAGGATCCAGAGTGGTCTCAGCCCTTCCCTGAAGCCATGGTTCCTCGGTCCCTGACGTGAAGCAAGCCCCCAGGGATCAGGACCACGTCTGTTCCTTCGCTGGGTTGCTTAGTACCACGTCTGTTCCTTCGCTGGGTTGCTCAGTGAGGAACACTGAGAGACGCGTGAATAGAGGCTGAGGGGACAGGAAAAGGGCCGCCTATATTGGGTGGCCTCACTGGGGAAGGTTTCCAGCAGGAGGTGGGTTCTGAGCAAATTTTGAGCTAAGGGATGGTGACAACCCAAGTGCCTCTGACCCAGGGGTCAGTAAACTTTTTATATAAAAAGCCAGATAGCAAATAGTTTAGGCTTTGCTGGACATGCCACCTCTGCGGCAGCTCGTCAATCTGCCTTAAAAGCACGGAAGCAGCCATAGCCCATCCCTGAATGAAGGGGCATGTCCATGTCCCAGTAAGACTTTTTTTACAAAAGCGGCAATAGGTAGATTTGACCTACACACCGGAGTTTGCTGATCCTACTCCATCTAAAGCAAGTTTTGGTTTTGCCAAAGCACAGACCCCTGCAGACTTTCCCAGGGGACAGAGGAGCTCGGATTCCAGCCTTCCCTGCTGTAGGCCACCCTCTCCTTGGGCTCCTCTTGGTTTAACCTGGACCTACATGCACAGTCTCCTGGCTGAGTTCCCTTAGGCGTCCACTATCCAGGTGTCCCCTCTGCATCCACAGGATTAACGGGAACACAGCCCTCCACCGGGACATCTACCCCTCAGTCAGCCTTCAGATCCAGAAGAACTTTGCCAAGAGCAAGTGGAGGGTAAGTGGTCCTCCCAGGAGGCCGCAGGCTGCTCTGGGCCCCTGGAGGCTGGGCTGGGGCAGGGCTAGTGGAGGGCTTTCCTTGAAGGTTCCCAGCAGATACTGGTATTCCCTGGACCCTCTCTGAACTGAGAAGTGGGCATTTTGGTTTCAAGAGGCCACAGGGCAAAGGGAAAGTAAGCCCTGCGGCCCTCTGAGACTGGAGATGGCCAAGGCCGGTCTTGCCTCCTTAGCAAGCCTTCAACGCAGCCACCGTGGTGCACCACATGAGGAAGCTGCACATGAACCTGCACAGTCCCGGCGTCCGCCCCGAGATGGAGAACAGGCCTCCCGTCACGAAAGCCTCAGAAGCTTCGAGACCCAGCTCCCCTGAGATCACCATTATTGAAGCCCCCGCCCTGGACCAGAGCGTGGCCCTCCCTGCCCTGACCCGGCTGCCCTGCCAGCATAGCCTCCGGCCCACAGCTCCTGGAGGCAGGTCCCTCAACTGCCTGATCAACGGCTCCCTCCGCATCAGCAGCAGCCTGGTGCCCATGCAGCACGGGCCCCTGGCGGTGGGGCCCTGTGGCTGCTGCGCCAGCTGCTTGAGCATCGGGAGCAAAGGGAAGTCCTCCTACTGCTCTGAGCCCTCACTCTTCAAAAAGGCCAACAAAAAGTACGTGTTTTATTTTTCTTTAAATATGGTTTTATTGGTGCTTAGAGAGAGAGGAAGGGAGAGGGATAGAGAGATAGAAACATCAATGAGAGAGAAACATCATTGATCAGCTGCCTCCTGTACACCCCCTACTGGGGATTGAGCCTGCAAACCAGACATGTGCCCTTGCAGGGTATCGAACTGGTGACCTCTTGGTTCCTGGGTCAATGCTCAACCACTGAGCCACACCAGCCAGGCAAAAAGTATGTATTTTCACCCAAAGACAGAGATCTTGCCCTACTCAGCCTGGGTCTGAAAGAACTCAGGCAACGAGCTAAAATAAATTGATGAAAGGATCTCTCCCACTCAAGGCAGCTCCATAGGGTCAGGGGTCAGAGCTCTGGATCAGGGGTCAAGGGAAATGCTGTCCTTCCCACCCACTAGCTGTGTGGCCATTAACAAATCAATGCCTCAGCCTCTATTTTGCTCATCTGTAAAATGGGTTCATTGAATTATATTTACCTGCTCAGCCTGCCTCACAGAGGCACTATAAAAGTTTGGTGATGCAACAGGAATTATAAATGCCTGCAGAAACCTGGGTGTATGTGAATGAATGAGCATTACATTCCTTGAGTTTCTAGGGCCTCGGTGTTTTGCGTGGAGGAAGGGGACTTGCTTGTCATTTGTCTTTTCTGCAAGTGCTTGTAATTTCTGAACTGCCGAGAGCAAATATGTCAAACTCAAAGGCTAACACGGGCCAAATAAAGAAGGCATGCGGGCCAGGAGTTTGAAATGCTTGGCCTAGAGCAGTGGTCGGCAAACTGTGGCTCGCGAGCCACATGCGGCTCTCTGGCCCCTTGAGTGTGGCTCTTTCTAAGCCTTAGGAGTACCCTAATTAAGTTAATAACAATGTACCTACCTATATAGTTTAAGTTTAAAAAAATTGGCTCTCAAAAGAAATTTCAATCGTTGTACTGTTGATATTTGGCTCTGTTGACTAATGAGTTTGCCGACCACTGGCCTAGAGAAAGGGCTGAGTGGATGCCACAGGCACTGAAAACTATCTGGGCTCTTCTTCCCGCATCAATGACATCATAGCCTGCTGCCCCACTTCCTCTCCAGGAACTTCAAGTCCGAGGTCCTGGTGCCCGTCAAAGCCAGCGGCAGCTCCCACTGCCGGGCGGGGCAGACTGGAGTCTGTCACATTATGTGATCCCTGTGTCACTGCAGCTTTCAGGTGAGGGGACTAGAGGCAGGAGGGCTGGGCGGGGAGCCTGGTGGGGGAGCTTCTATCCCAGGAGGAAAGCCCCATCCCAGAGTCTGAATAATAGGGTCTGAGGGGTGCCAGCAGGGCACCCCCACTCCACCCTGCACCCTTTCCTCTGCAGGAGAGATGGCCAACTCTTCTCTGCCCTTCCGAACCTGGGTCTACTCTGCAGCAGGAGGAGGGGAGCAAGCGGGGCAAGGCGTGGCAGGAGCAATTTCTGGTCAGAAGCAGCCAACTGCTTCCGCCTGGGGCAGCCCCTCACGCAGGCCCAGGCGTGAGCCTCCGGATAACAAGGCCTCTGAAGCTGTGGGCAGGAGGAACGGCACCCGCCGGCTTCCAGGTCGCCCCGGCCTGCTGCTCTGTGCCCCGCTCCCCACGTGCCGTGGCTCTGTGCAGTGTGCGTAGGTAGCTCTTGCCCAGGTCTGTGTTGTGTGTCTTGAAAAGCTTAACAGGCTGGCCAGGCTGTGTCACCCTCAGAGCAAAGCCATAAGGAGCATCTACCCAGACTCCCCACTCAGCACTCACTCGCTCCTGCCTCTCAGGCCTCCATCCCTGTGGCCAGGATGGGCTCACCAGTGTAGTCGCCTGCCCATCCCATCCGCATGAATGACGGGCAGCTGGGCGGTCTGTCTGTGCGCTCTCCAGGGAATTTCTAACTCCAGGATTGGCTCCTCACTGTGCCGAGACCCCCAGCCCACCCCAGCCCACTTCTGAGCCAGCTCCCTCCCCGCCCCAGTCCAAAGGCAATGCCACACCCTCCAAGATGATACAGGAAGAAAACCATGACTAAGTACTGTAAGGAGTAATATCCTGGCCAGATGCCCTCCGCACACACCCAATTAAGTAAAAACTGGAAGTTGACTGTTTTCATTGCAGCCAGTAAGTCTAACTCTGCCTCTGCTCCCTTCTCTCCCTGAGAGTCAGGCGTTCTTATCGCTCCCCACTTTTCTTGCCATCCGACCCCCTTTCGGCTTCATGCTCAGTGTTGTGCTCAATAAATGGACATATGAGGCTTCCTTTGGTTCTTTTTTAAAAAAAACACACACACATTTTTATTGATTTCAGAGAGGAAGGGAGAGGAAGAGAGATAGAAACATCAATGATGAGAGAGAATCATTGATCTGCCTCCTGCATGCCCTCTACTGGGGATGGAGCCCGCAACCCAGGCATGTGCCCTGACCGGGAATCAAACCATGACCTCCTGGTCCATAGATGGACCCTCAATCACTGAGCCATGCTGGCTGGGCTCCTTGGGTTCTTCTAAAGTCAGAAGCAGCTCGAACTTGTGCGCATGTGTGGAGAGGAAAGTGCATGGAGAGGTTGAGGCCAGGAAGGACCTAGCAAACATGGACCGGGAGCACGCGGTGTGCCAGGCACCTGGCGATGGGAGTTAACATACTGACCCATTGACTCCTCACAAGGACCCCTTGGAGCCCAGGTGGTCCAGCTGCAGCCTCCATGCTCCTAATGGCTGTATGAGAAGAGCATGAAGTTGAGGCCCAGCCCTGCCCTGCCACATCCATGACCCTGGGGAAGTGATGGAACCCTCCGTGTCACCTTGGTTTCCTCATTTGTCAGATGAGAACAGCGCCACCTACATCATGAAATAGTGCAGACCACGTGTCCTGCCCAGTGTCAATAGATAATATGCCTAATAACGACCAAGATGTTCCTATAGATAAATGTCTAGCCCAGTGCCTGGGCTATGGCAGCACACAAACCCTCAGGCCATTTCCATATCCACGCCCCATACACACACAAACACACGTCCATTACAACTTCTCTTTGAGATCCCAAAACACAGAGGTTCTGGTCGTAGTGCTGCTTCTAGAAGCCGTGTGAATGTGGACACCTTGCTTCCCTTCTCTGGATTTCTATTCCTCGTCTATAAACGTGAAATCAGGTCATTGTTTAAAGATGAAAGGGCTCCTTGGGTCTCTAGAGGATGGAATCTGCCAGGCCCTGGCACAAAGGGGCTGGGTCCCCCTACGGTTGGGTGATGAGCAAGCTGGAGGAGCCGCGTGGGGCAGCCGACAGCTCCTACACCACCAGGCCTGGGGAGGCAGACACACGGGATAAAGCGTCACTTTATGGGAGACAGACTATTTTCCTTCTTGGAACCTCCAGGCTCCTTTCCAAAGATTTTATTGGGCCTTTTCACGTGTACATCATTTGCGTTAAGTTTCTGTGTGGGTCCAGGATTCAGCCTCAATGGAGAATGAAGAGCGAGGATACTTCCCAGCCTAGCTCCCTCCATTTGAGAGCTCCTGGTCACAAGGGTATGGCTCATCTCTGCCATTCCTGTCCCTCACATGTGGCTGTCCATCCGCTCAGCCTCAGCGGCGGCCCAGAGTAATATTAGCTGCACATCAGGGGTGGTCCCAGCGGTGCTTTCAGCAGCATAAAAGGAGCTGGAAAGCATTCCAAACCAGTCTGCTCCCCCCACCAAAAAAAAAAAGAGGGCAGATGCGTGGGGCCCGGGCTGGCAGCTGGAGCATCACTTGCAGGTGGCGTAGTAGAGCACCCGCTCATTGATGTGGTCGCGGATCTGCTCCACGTGCTTCTCCAGCCCCG